TGTTGGGGGATGGTCTCTTGTAGTTTGTGAGTGTCTGCACTGACGCAGGGTTGTTGGCTGCAAAGCTGTTATTGAGCCTTTCAGCATAGCACCTCTTTGCAGCTTTGATCTCTTTAGTCAGCGTGTTCCTGGCCTAGTTGTACAAGACTCTGTCCCCGCTTCTTAAGGCCTCCTCTTTGGTCTGACGAAGCTGCTTGAGTTTCGCTGTGAACCGGGTTTTTGGTTATTGTATGTAAGGTTTTAATTCGGCACACACATGTCCTCACAAAAACTGATGTAAGATGTCACATTGTCAGTTAGTTCGTCCAGGTCAGTGGCTGCAGGCTCAAAAACACTCCAGTCAGTGCAGTCAAAGCAGGCCTGTAACTCCAGCTTTGACTCATTGGTCCATCTTTTCACAGTCTTTACAACAGGTTTAGCAGATTTCAGTTTTTGCCTGTGTGTCGGGAGAAGATGAACCAGACAGTGATCAGAGAGTCCTAAGGCTGCATGTGGGAACAGAGCGATAGGCGTCCTTTAATGTTGTGTAGCAGTGGTCCAGTGTCCCTGGTGGGACTCTTAATATGCTGTCTGTACTTTGGAAGTTCATGGTTGAGGTTTGCTTTGTTAAAGTCCCCAAGAACAATGAGCATGGAGTCTGGGTGTTTTTTCTCCACATTAGTTATCTGGTCATGATTTCTTCAACACTGTGACATCTGTGCACCAACCTTCGTTTATATAGAAACAGAGTCTGCCTCCCTGTGATTTTCCCATGAGCTCCCTTTTGCGATCCGCGTGGATGAGATTAAATCCCGGTAGGTGAAGTGCGCTGTCCGGGATGCGCTCGGTGAGCCAGGATTCGGTGAAACAGAGGACAGCAGATCTGTTAGTTAACAAAAGTCCACTAGTTGCTAGGCTGGTTTCTGCAGTGTAAAAGCTATTACTAGCTTAAGCTAATAATAGTGACCAGCAAGTTGTAGCAGTTATCAACGCCGTCATCTTGGCTCAAGCTGAACAAAACATCATAGCCTGGCTGAGATAATGTTTGAGCTTTTAAGAAGGGGCAGGGGCGCCGCTGTAAAGGAAAGGGTGCGCTGGTGTTTATAACACCAGGCAAAATGAGTGTCATTGTGAAACAGCATGTAGCACAATAACCATTTGATCTCAATTAACTTGTTTTCATAATCGTTGAAAGCCAAAATCTAAATCCACAATGCCGCAATTTATAACAGTTAGACCGCAGTAAACCACAAAGTCCATTGAATCTGCTTGTGTTGCTTTACGGCTGCGCTGCATTTGCTGGAGCCATTCTAGTCTATGCCTCCATCAGACGCTGAAATGCTCCCTGTGGGAAATACAGCCTGCAGACAACAGAACAAAACGGGGTCACAGAAGAAGAAGAAAGTAGTAGAAGCAGCAAATTAACAAGTCAGTAACATGGGGCAGGCTGCACGCTCCACTGCTGAAACACTTCCAGTGATGCCGAGAAGAGGTCAGAACAAAACTGCGGCACAGCTGTTACACGGCACAGTATTTACAAATCACGGTGCAGTATTTACAAATCACTCCATATTTGCTTTTTACCGTTACATTCTTTCTTGCAGGCTAAAATCAAAACTTTGAGATAATACTGGTGGTACACAGGATAGTAATATGGGTAGTGTTAGCTGGTGAAGTAATGTGGAAAGCCATAAGGTAAGGAAAGCTCAGGGCAGCCGTGGTATTTTGGTGCACTCTGTTTGTTTTATTTACGTTTGTTAACTTTGCATTCTGCTGTGATACCCAGAGCTCTTTCACCAGAGAAGAGCTCATAAACATCAGGGGAACAACACCAGCGGATTTAATTCCGACTTTTCTCATGTCATCAGTGGAATTATTGGACATTCCGGTCAAGGCTTCACTTTCCGCTGTTCACGTGGTGAGACACCGAAGGAGAGGTAGGAGGTCCGGTACACTGGTGCGACCACGCCGAAGAGGACACCGCTATCGGGAATATTTCTCTCCAATGTGCGCTCACTTTGCAATAAACTGGACGAACTTCGGCTACTGGTGGGGAAAAACAGAGATCTATTTTCTTTATCTTCTATTTTGTGCTTCACGGAGACATGGCTGTGTGGATCAATACCAGACTGCAGCTGACTGGCTTCCAACTGTCCAGCAAAACAAAAGGTGGAGGTGTCTGTTTTTACATTAACAGTGGCTGGTGTAATGATGTGACTCATGTGATTCAGCAACACTGTAAACCATTCTACTCTCCCCACGAGTTTGCTACCTACTTTCTTCTTTGTGTTTACTTCGCACCGCAGGCCAATGTGCACGACGCACAGCGCACGCTGGCTGACCAGATACTGTGAGTAGAGCGAACCTTCCTGGACTCCTTAGTTATTGTTCTTAGTGACTTTAACAAAGGAAACCTCAGTCATGAACTCCCCAATACAGACAGTTCATAAAGTGTCCAACCAGAGAGGGGAACACTCTGGATCACTACTACACTACATTAAGCAGTGCCTATCACACCGTACCTCAAGCTCCACTGGGTCACTCTGACCATGTCATGGTTCACTTGATTCTTGCTTACAGGCAAAAGCTAAAACTGTGTAAACCTGTAGTGAGGACATCAATGCAGTGGACCAGTGAAGCTGTAGAGAACCTCGAGGCGTGTTTGGACTGCACTGACTGGGATGTTTTCAGGACTGCTACCACCAACCTGGATTAGTATACAGAGGCTGTGACGTCCTACATCAGCTTCTGTGAGGACAGCTGCATTCCAACACGGACCAGGATGAGTTATAAAAAGGACAAACCCTGGTTCACAGCTAAGCTCAGACAGCTAAGATTGGAAAAGGAAGAGGCATTTAGGAGTGGAGACCGGGCCAGGTTTAAGGAGTCAAAGTACAGGTGTAGCAAGGTGTTGCAAGATGTTAAACAGTTGTACGCAGAGAGATTACAGCACCAGTTCTCAAGAAATGACTTCTTCTGTCTGGAGAGGCTTCAGACAGATCACCAGCTACAAACCTAAATCCCCCCACTCCATGAACGACTCACAACTTGCCAATGAGTTGAACCAGTTTTACTGTCGTTTTGAAAGACAATGGGACAGACCTGACACCATTACCCGTCACACCACTGATCGGCCACAGTCCACCATCTCATCCTCCACCTCCTCCCCCTCTCTTACCATCCTGGAGAGGGAAGTCAACAGACTGTCAAGGCAGAAACCTTGCAAAGCAGCTGGGTCGGACTCTGTCTCCCCATCCACCCTGAAGCATTGCGCCAATCAGCTGTCTCCGGTGTTCACAAACATTTTTAACACCTCACTGGAGACATGCCATGTGCCAGCCTGCTTCAAAGCCTCCACCATCGTGCCTGACTCCACCTGCAGATGGATCACAGACTTCCTGATGGACAGGAAGCAGCATGTTAAGCTGGGAAAAGATCTCTCTGACTCCAGGACCCTCAGCACTGGTTCCCCTCAGGGCTGCGTTCTTTCCTCTCTGCTCTTCTCCCTGTACACCAACAGCTGCACCTCCAGTCACCGGTCAGTCAAGCTCCTGAAGTTTGCGGATGACACCACCCTCATTAGGCTCATCTCAGGTGGGGATGAGTCCTCCTACTGGTAGGAGATTGACCATCTGGTGACCTGGTGCAGCCAGAACTGTCTGGAGCTCAATGCTCTGAAGACACTTTTGCACATACTTGTCAGTATTGTATTATAGTATTATTGTATTTTTTGTATACTTGTACATTTTTTGATCTCCTTTTTAATTTTTTTTATATATTTCTATTTAAGTTAATTCTACTGTAAGCAACAATTTATACCAAGGCAAATTCCTTGTATGTGAAAATGTACTTGGCAATAAACCTGATTCTGATTCTGATAAAGCTGTAGTATTTTGAACAGGATAATGTTAGCAACTGATCGGCTTTAGCTGGCAAGCTAATGTAACCTAACTTGAGCCAACTAAAGCACATGCTTTACAGTAATGTTACTTCACCTGTCCAGTAGGGTGAAAGCCAACTCTGTGTCGGTTTTGTCAGTTTCAAAACAAATCGAAGATCTCTCTCTGTGACTCAAGCCTTTCTGATGTTGATTGTGTTTTCACCCGACATCAATTTGACTCACGTTTAGCCAGATGGGCTTCACAAATAACTTTATTTCTTTTTTTTATTCATACGTAGAATTTGTGTTGGATTGTTATGCTGGGGTGTTAATGGACTGCATTTCGTTAGCTGCAGCTGTAGTCGGCAAGAGGCTCGGGAGCACGCAGCTAGAACCTGACCAGAATAGTGGCTGTTCCAAGCAACAGAGAAAACGGGCATGTGATTAATTTTAAGTGAAATTACAGTTACGTTGACAAATTGGTGGTAAAAAAAATATTTATTAAAACAACGCAAGGCAAGGCAAGTTTATTTGTATTGCACATTTCAACAGCAAAGTAATTCAAAGTGCTTTACATAAAACATAAAAGCAACAGGGAAATATAAAAAAGGGAAATTGAAAAAATACACATTAAAAAATAATAAAAGTTACAGTGCAGTGTACAATCAGGGTTAAAAGAGTTAAATGGAAAATAAAAACAGTCTGAGGGGTTGAGCAAATAATTGAGTTACAATTAACATTTAATCTACTCTCTCTAGCCAGTCTGTACTCGGGTCCATAGCAGTCTTTGGGTCCACTGAAACTCCAAAAACCCTCGGACACTACAGAGAAACCAGGACATGTCGCAGGCCACTTTGATCCAGTTATACTCCCGGACCCACCTGCAGCGACCACTATGTTTAGCGCTCCTAGTGGCAGTGACCAGTGGTCTGTGTGGCAGCGACCACAATCTTTAGCGCCCTTAGTGGTAGCGACCAGTGGTCTGTGTGGCAGCGACCAGTGGTCGGTGTGGCAGCAACCAGACCGCAGAATTGGCTACAACTGTTGCGGTGGCAGCCCGGCTGACGGTGAGTGCCCTGTTTTTTAACTCCTTTTTCTCCGCATCCTATTTTCTCCTGTGTCTCCTCCCCTCTCCTTCTGTGTGTGCTCTCCCTCTCTCCGCTCCGGAGCCCAGCTGACTACCCACAGCTGTCTATCATCAACCTCCACCTCCGACCGCCACACCTGCCAGCTATCAGCCTCATCTCTACCAGTATTTCAACCCCGGCTCTCCACTCCATCCCCGCTTGATTGTCGCCGCTCCAGACTTGGTGCCACTGCTACATTCAAGCTTTTTATGATCTTGTTCACATCTTACTTCTCCATCTCCTATCTCATTGAACTAACCCTGTCTGTTTCCCCCACCAGGTCCACTCACCTCTGTCTCCCATTCGGTCAGCTGGGCTCACCTACCTGCCTTCCCCTCTTGCATCGCCTCCACGGCTCTCCCTGGTTCCCCCTTCGCTCCTCGCCTGACCGCCAGCTACCACATCCTTTCCTGCCTCTCGTTACTTCATCTAAGAGACTTCTTCAGTTTTGAATGACTGGTAGAGAAACTCAGCTATTTAACGTCTGTGGGGTCGTTGCCAAGACACAATTTTGTGTTTATGGGAACGTGACGAGACGAGATTTCAACACTTTAAGAAATTATCTATGCTGAATTATATGAAAAATTTGAGCATTAAACACACCAATTCCTGCATTCTGGTGAATATTTTTTTTAAAACAATTTCTGCTTTTTCTGCATCAATTTATGGTGAAAATGTTTTTATGGCTTTTTTTGTAGAGTGAAGCTGAAGACAGCGCCTGGTGTAAAGTTCTTATAACAGCAGCATTACACTCAATTGGGTCATTAATGTGAAATCTGCCTAAGTAAAGAATTTTGGTTAGCTTATGTATTTCTGTGCTTTTCTCACTCCAGGGCTCCAATTTGAATATTTTAAAGAGGTCATATTATGCTTTCTGTCCCTCTCCTTTATTGAGTTATATCCCTTTTTTGTGCATGAAAAAGTCCAGCCCAAAGGGAGTTCCCATCTCCCATAGAAAACACAGTTCTGAACTGACTGAAAACAGCTTGTTTGTAGTCCAGCCTTTTCCCTTTGTTCTCTGTGACGTCACAGCAAAATGCGGGTCAAAATGTTCTCCTAGCAAATAGTATGACACACCCTCAAAAACACCAGTGGAAAAACAGTGAGCACACAGTGATAAGAGGTCCGCCTGCTGCCTCTCCTCTCCCTTCCAAACATTAGCTAACCCTCCAGGCAGTTAATGGACATAAAGTTGTTACTGTGATGTAGAGTTAAAACATTATGGATTAAAGATATTTTGTTACAAATTAATAACTCACCACTCTGAAACTCTTGCTCCAGTATAGGTTGCTAAGCTCCTAGGGGGAACATGAACAGCTGAACCGCCCTGTTTACCTGCTTCTCAGGCCCACACTACTCTGCTTCTGATTGGCTAGTAGTCCTTGACTGTGCATGTGCAACTCCAACAAAGATCTTGTAGAGGTAAGATGCATCACTCCATAGCTAAAATGGAGCATTCAACATACATGGTGAAAAGAGGAGCTGCAGTAATGTGCAGTCTGACAAAAATATGTTGTTTTTTGAAAATGAAACCATGTAAACCTGTTCTGGTAAAACCCCTAAATAAGATTTTGAACCTGAAAATGGGCATAATATGACCTTTTTAAATCAAAATTTCACAACATTTGTGGGGGTTGTTTGCGCATGCTACCAATCTGATCTCATCAGTTAAGATGAAGCAAATTAGCTGGGTTTTTGACTTTACACTCTTGATTAATAATACCTTGGGATGTCTTTCTTCCCCTGAACTTTAACTTTAATAGCTACTCCTTTAGTCATACTGACGATTTCAGATGGGCTTTAACTGTGGATCGACACTCTGTGTGACATTATTGCATTGGAGGGAGCCTTTCAAACTGACCTCCCTTCTTAAAAACAAAACTATAACTCTTGCAGACCCTTATAGAAAAAGCATCAGAGGGAAAATCAAATTGAGTAGAGCTGAAAGTAGTCTCAAGGTTCACTTAAAGAGAAAAGTCAGGGCAACCCAGCTGCCGAGCAACAGGCAGCAAAGTAATCTGATTGTTAAAAGGTGACAGTTTGCATCAGCAGTATTGGCTGGGGAGCTGGGGCTTATTAGCTTGCACTAAAGCTACATTGAGTATTTTTGCTGCTGCCAGCTGGCTGACCAAAAAAATGGTGTTTTGGCATTTTTGAATGGGCTGGGTTTGTTGATGGACAATCTGCCCTGCACAATGATTATGAATGAATGTGTGATGTAGAAAAATATATCCCTTTTATCATAACCAGCAATAATAATAAAACTGTAGAAGTCTGAATATTGAATTGAATGCTGCTTAAATGTAATTTAGATCACATTAGCCAGTGTCTTTTAACACGAAGCATGTTCAAAAATGGACTTGATAGCCAGGCTCTGACAAACAATGAAAGCATAAATCACACGAAATGAACGACAGGGGAGACAGCACAGTGATGCTTATGGGTGACTTTATTGTTCATGCTCTGAATACTAAGTTGATCATTGTGTCTATCTTATTTTCCAGACAGAGCCAAAGAGTCTTTGTTCATCAGGTAACACCTTTATGCATTTGGTATTGATTATATTTTACAAACAGAAGTGCAGCACTGCTGTACATATTGATCTTTTCCATCCAGGTCCACACAAACTGTGCACACCACATGTATGCACAAACACAAATGTATTTGTCTATGTGCACAGATGACACAAAGTTAGACTGTGGATCCAAATAACAGAGAATGAATACTACATAATAACATTAAAAATAACATGTGTATTTCAACACAAAAAATCGAATATAATGTTGGTAAATCAAGAAGGACATAACTGCTTTTAAGAATACAATTTTGAAGAACAGACAGTCAGTACAAGGGATGAAATAAAACAGCCACATTGTGTCTTTTGCACATCCTCTTCTTGGTCTTTAAACCATGTCTTGTGAGAAGAGTTCAATGTCCGGTCATCTCCCCAAAGTCAAGCGTCTACTGTTAAATCAGGCCCTGGTCTCAGCCTCTAGCAAGTCTGTTTCAGAGCCCCTCAGCCTGAGGGTCTGTTTATGCCCATGCTGGCCTTTTTAGAGCTGCATGATCTGCTTAACGTCTATGTCAGCAGCTTGGCCATCCAAGAAAAAACAGGGATCCCAGTGGATGCCTTAATCGTCTTCATCATTATACTAAACTACAGTCTGGTCGGGATCTGCTTCTTGCCTGTTTGTCATAAATGGCCTTGTTTAGTGCTGCCTATGGTGACACTGTACATGTGAGAACCAACTGTCTTGAAGCCACAAAAAGAAATGGGAGGAATCTTGTTTGTATGGATGTTGAGCAGTTATCTTATTTTCTGGACACCTCAGACATTAACATAGAGATGCAGGTGTTAGCTTGTGGGTAAGGACAGGGCTCTGCATATCAGGAGCTGCTACAGTGGTTGTATCATAGCAGTCGGAAATCAGCTCCTGGACGTTGCTCTCTCCACCATCCCACTCTGACGATTGCGACAAGGACAGAGGTAGCCTTTTAAGTGCATGCGCACCTTGCTGTGCAGTGAGGCATAGATGAAGGGGTTGTAACACGCAGAGCTCATAGCCACTAAATGACAGCAGACTTGTAAGACATTTATGTAGCGCTTCCCCATGATCTGGAAGTCTGGATCCAGGTCCAGCAACAGATTCAGCACCTACACAGTGACATGGACAAACTTGTGTTATAGCCCTGGTTGTATTTAATTGAGCTGAATCTGTATTAATTCTTAAAAATACACTTAACTTAAATCCAACTTTTCTTCTTGCACATTTTGACACCCTTCAATAATCACAACAAATGGCATACTTGCAACACCTGCAGCCCAGTAGGACTGGCAAATGTATCTGCAATTTGCATAAGAAAATCACTTATGAAATGTCATGCTGCCACCATTTGTGATCTGTGTGTAGGCAGTTCTCGCAGAATGCTTTTGGTGTAACGGCGCCCCAGGTCTGTGCAAACCTACCGCAATGTAAACCCTGCCCTATTATTCCAGTAATATGATGATCTGAGGTTTTTGTATGGCTCACTGTGGACATAATATTGGTTTTGTAGACACAATTACCTGATGATGAGATCCTGTGGTTAATGATGTATAAAACTGAATCATCTCATGGACAGTTAAAGCTTCACTCTTTTTTCATCACTTCACTGCTTTCTAATTTATGATTTGCTAACAGATACCAACAAGAGTGTAAACTTGATCTCCCTTACAAGTCTAACTCACAAATCAAGATCTTCCTCAAATTCAAACTCAGATAAGGAGTAAAGAAGAAGGATATTCAAGCTAAGAATGCCTCACAGTTTAGTTTTACTGTAAGACTCACCTGCAGGGGCATCCAACACAGAGCGAAGGCCAGCACTGAGGCCACCAGCAGAGAGAAAGTCCTCTTCCTCCTTTGGCTCCAGCGCTGTTGGCTATTGTATGGCTCTCCAGGTACTGAATAGCGTCTTAGGCTGACAGTGATGGCACAGTAGGATATGCTGACGACAGCAGCGGGATCATATAGGAGGCTATGAGAATGAAGAAGGAGTACAGCAGCCGCAGATTGCCACTATTTGGCCAGAATTCCTCACACACTACCAGGTTGATGCCACTGGGTCGCAGGTCCAGATAGCGCGTGTAGAGAGACGGAGGTGCGGCCAGGGCCAGAGATAAAAGCCACACACCCAGAGTCACTGCACCACAACCCCAAGCAGAGATCCTCCTCCGTACTGGGTGAGCTGAAACAGAATGTGAACAATTTCAGACATAGCATAGCCAACAGCCCCAAATCAGTATATTATTTCACACATTAAAGCCACCATGTTTGAAATGTGTATAGTATTATAGCGTCTTTCAATGAATAATAAAATTAGTGCAATCTGTTGATTTCAGCCCATTCATCTCAGTATCTCCTGGTTGGATTTGAGGGTTGACTAATCAGCATGCATTGCTGTCTACCACTGTGTCCTTTTTACACCCACACCATATGGCTCGAGAGAAACTAATTTTCAAATCCTAGAAGAAGAAGAAGAAGTAGAACAAGTAAAAATTATATTAAGTCCCATACCTACAACAATGTAGCGGTCCACAGCAATGGCAGTGAGTGAAAGCACTGATGCAAACACTGTGGCACACTGCAGCAAGGGGACCAGGTGGCAGAGTGGTCTCCCAAAAGCCCAGCCATGGCTGTCAAAGGCATAAGACACAGTCAGTGGGACACAACTCAAACACATCAGCAGGTCTCCAGCTGCTAAGTTACCAATGAAAAAGTTGGTGGCGTTATGGAGTTTCTTGTCAGCCAAGATGCAAGCCAAGAGGAAAGAGTTTCCAACACCAGCCACGGCCACTATGAGGCAGTAGAGAGGCAGGAAGAGAGGTTTGAAGCGTAGAAGAAGCTCCATGCCTATAAACATGTCCAGGGGGTCACTGTGGTTGAGTCCTTGGCTTTGGGTGCCATTTAGTTTCTCTAGTCCTGTTTCATGGCTGGTGTTGCCGGTCACACTGAAAACCTCTTCCATGAGGATATCCATGGCTCTGGAGGCAACCTTAAAGTAAGGGAGAGCACCATCAACAATAATCGACAAGTGAAGATTTCAGAAATGTCAGTGACACTGATCTATCAGTATTCATAGTTATATATATATTTTTTCGTTATTCCAGTTGATTTTTCAGTAGCTCAAAAAATAAAAATGAAAAAATGAAAAGTGAGTAAGTGGCTTTTTAGAGACTTTTCTGGAGACCAGGACAACAAAGTGAAAGTAAAATGGCAATTTGGCTGTGTGTCTCCCGAATCTCCCATAATTTGGGGACTTTGGGG